TAAAACACTGTTCTGCGCAAACTACACATCGTAGGAAATTTGTTCGTTAAAATTAAATTGATAAATAACAAATCTTAATAGTCAATACATCTACTGCAAAGAAACATGTTTTAAGTAGCTTTTTAACACTTTAACGAATCAGTTGTCGGCACCTTTAAGCGCGAGAGGCTTTCACAACCGTCCTTATAAAGCTTTGAATATACTTTCAACAAATGGGAGGATTTGCATTAAACACATGGGACCTTTCGACTTTATAACAGTATATTTATTTGATGAAGAATGTACAGTAGCTTGGTTAATGCCATTTTTCGAGTGATTTTACCTGTCTGAAACTTTTGGACAGTCATTGGGTGTTTGCAAGGGTTTATTAAGATGATTGCGGTATCACCATTTCGAAAATAGATATTACCTGATAAGTATAATATAAACTTTGTATATTTTACAACAATTATGAAACAAATTTTTACAACTTATATTGAGTACTCTTGTTGGCTCGGATGTGAGCGCGGAGGGTCTTTTAAAATGTGGGAGGAAAACGGAGTACCCGGAGAAAACCCACGTGGTCGGGCAGGTGTCCTTACCTTTTCACGTCCGATCGGAGAATCGAACACCGGCCGACTCCGTGAAAGGCAAGTGCGCTATCCAATGCACCACGCGAGCTTTCTGATAAGTGATATTACCTAGTTATTCCAGTGATATTACTTCATCATTCACAAAGTTTTAAGATAAAATGTTAAGTGCATGAAAATGATAAAATTATGAATTAAAACGTCAGTAAATGTTAATGAGGAAGTTCCGTTGGATTCCAGTTATACTAAATATAGCTTCAATGAGTTCCAAGTATATCAATTGGACAATCAATGTCCCGTTATACTAAATATAGCTTCAATGAGTTCCAAGTATATCAATTGGACAATCAATGTCCCGGTTTTTATCATGCATTTGTTCATTTTCCAGGAATAATTATTTGTTTATCATTTTTGAGAAAAAGCCATTACATCTGCTCACGAGGCCGCCACTGATCCACGTACCACTGCCAAACACTGTAGATAAGTATTTGAAACTGTTATTCCGGCATAATCATAGTTTTGATAAATCATTTGTGAAAGGAAAACTATACCTTGTTGTACTTTAAGGGGAAATAAGAAAGAAGAAATATAACGAATATTAGTGTTCGGAGTTTAACATTTTAGCGGGGCTAGATCCTACTTGCACAATATTAAGTTCAATGTTTTATATATAAATACGATGAACGTTATGATAAGTTCGACTATACAGCGTGACACAAAGATGAACATTATGATAAGTTTGACTGTACAGCTTCACACAGAGATGAACATTATAATGATTATGATACAGGTCTGTACAAATGTAGTAAAATACATACATTGTAAAAGTAAAGTGGTTTACAAACACACATATATTTATATTACAATGATATAGTAAATGGCAAATCGAAAAAAAAAAGGAAACCTCATTGGGTCTTCAAAATAAATAACGAACAGCTCAAAATTAATAGTGAGTTTACCAATAAACTTTAACAGAACAGAATTCAATCCTGATAATTTCTAAAACAATGGACTTTTGCAAGTCTATGTAACGGAAGGTGCCACCGCATGTGACGTCATCACTTACTATATGACGTAATAGGTCATAATGACACCCCTCGAAAGACGTGACGAATTATGCTATCACATTGGCGGGCGGGCGGGCGGTCGGATGGGCCGACGGGTCGATAACAACCAATATATACCTAACCGTAATTTACGGAGTAAGGGCCATTTAATAACTTTCCGAAACGGTGTCCGCTCGATATCTTCACTAATTTTCAACAGATTAAATTCAAACTTCATAGGAAAGTTTATTATTAAAAAACCTCGGGCAAATTCGATAGCCACCAATATACGACCGTAACTTACGGAGTAAGGGCCCTTTATTCACTTTCCGAAACGGTGTTCGCTCCATACCTGGAGCAGTTTTCAATGGATTATCTTCAAACTTCGTAGAAATATTACCATATTCGCTCGGACAAGTTCGATAACCGCAATTATCGGACCGTATTAACAGAGTTATGGCCCTTTATTTATTTGCCAAAACAGTGTCCGCTCGATATCTCCAGTATTTTTTAAGGGATTAAATTGAAACTTTATAAGAAGGTTCATTGCAATGATAACTCCGACAAGTTCGATTACCACCAATGTCCAACAAAAAACTATGGAGTAATGACCCTGTATGTACAACCATACAGACAACTGTTCATTCGTTGTATGACGGACGTATTATGTTCCCTTTCGCGGTACCTTTGTTGTAAGATAAATTGCTGCTTTTGGTTGAATACGTTTGCATACGCCAATACGCAGGCACGTTAATAGAAAATTAAAATTCATATTCTTTGGTGAGTTTATTGAGTCCAAGTTCAGTAAAATGTGAATATGAATTATAAACATAATGTGTGGTTTTTTTAAGTTAATACTTTTTAATAGTTGTATTATGATACCACAGGTTACAACAATGACATACAATATGACATTGTGAAAATATAAAATATCTTCATGGTTATAACATTTCGATTATTTTATTACAATGTAGAAAGTAACGATAGTCTGTTAACGACAACGACAAACAATATATTACAATACGAAGCAAATAAATCCAGGAAGAGTAATAATAGGAATTGTTTTTCATCAATATATTGATAGTTATCAGAGAAAAGCAAGAATGACAAAGATATTATTGATACATAATGATATATATACATGAAGGATCTTACATGAGTTTCCACTTCATATGAGATTTATCAAAGGAGTCTTAGATTTTTTCCATGACGAGTTTTATAAATTTCACATGATTGAAGACGAGTGTAAGATCTTTTTTATCACATAAACAAGATTTATGGCATTAATTCGTGTAAACCGACAATTTTCATGCAACCCGGAAATGTAAAAAGCCGCCATTTTGACTCCAGTGTGTGACGTCATGTACTTGTCCTAGGCGTGACTTTACAATTCTTACAACCATTCACAGGGCTGATAGGTCATAATACATGGGTTAATACGCAAAAAAAAACCCAACCCTTTTGATAACACAGCACATTATGTGATAACATTATAGATATTGATAGGTTGGATAGTACATTTTAAATCATTATCATATTTATAGCTTTAAATAGGTATGGTATTTCAGATTAATATTATCAACATATCTATAGCTATATATAGGTTTAATATTTTAGCTAAATAGCATTAACATGTGTATAGCTTAAAATAGGTATAAAAGTTCAGCTAATTATTATTAACTTATTCAAAGCTATAAAAACGGATAAAATTTAGCTAAATATCATTAACATATTTATAGCTATAAGTAAGTATAAAAGTTCGGCTTAATATTATTAACATATTTATAGCTATACATAGGTACAAAAGTATAGCAACAAGTAAATATTTTTAACATATTTATAGCTATAAATAAGTATAAAAGATCAGCATAATATTATTAACATATTTATAGCTATAAATAAGTATAAAAGTTCAGCTTAATATTATTAACATATTTATAGCTATAAATAGGTATAAAAGTATAGCAACAAGTAAAGATTTTAACACATGTATAGCTATAAATAAGTATAAAAGTTCAGCTTAATATTATTAACATATTTATAGCTATACATAGGTACAAAAGTTCAGCTTAATATTATTAACATATTCATAGCTATAGATAGGTATAAAAGTATAGCAACAAGTAAATATTTTTAACATATTTATAGCTATAAATAAGTATAAAAGTTCAGCGTAACATTATTATTATATTTATAGCTATAAATACGTATAAAAGTTCAGATTATTGTTATTAACATGTTTATAGCTTTAAATAGGTATAGTAGTTCATATATAATACATTTGCAGTACTGTTCATTACAATAGCATATATTCTGTTTAAAACAGAAAAGAATTATGGATCGTTAATTGTTAGCCATAACGTGTCAAGTGTGTTTTATCTACTACCCCTATACTGACAGAACAATAGAATGGTGCTATGGCTAAAGGACAATGGATGAGCACTTGTACTTTGTATAGCAAGACCCTTATATGTTTACGTGGTATTTTGTTAACCACCTTTCAGAGTCATATGACAGGTGGCGTGGATGAGGAAGATGACGCTTACCCTTCCTGGTTTTATTCTCCTGATACGCTTGCAATGGTCTCCATGTCAATTTTTCTCTTGTTCATATTTTACCCTACTTTTATCAATTTGGAGTTTGAAATAAAGAAGAAATAATGAGAAATGTTATCTTTAATGTCGAAAAAAATATAGTATCAGTACATCTCATATTTAAATGATACAATGCAATACATATAGCATCCAAAACCAGTTATATTTATTAGATACAGCACAATAGCATATTGCAATTTTGTATGTACAAGGAACACCATAAAAACCTGTTGCATTTACAAAATAAAGAACAATAAAATCGGCACTTTAACTGGTCATATTAAAATACAATACAATAAACCTACTTAGAAAAGCGAACACTCTAAATTCCACGCTCGCTAACGTTCTCCGCACTTCTATATTAAAAGAATCGCGCGACAACATAACGCTTAAATTGCTTTACAGTCGGGTGTCGTTCGCTCGTCTATAATCTCAAAAGGTTATGTATCAGCCTAGCGATTGGTCAGTCCCTCTTTTTAACCTAAAGCCAATCAAATAGCTAAGCTTACACCGCACCGTCGATTTTGTCATGGTCTATCCCAGAGAAGCAGAGAACGTTGCTCCGGGAATTTTGAGAAATGAAAACGTACTAAATTTACAAGATATATTAGTTGTGGATGGTGGACTAAATCTCTAGCGATGATTATGACCTGGGCGTCTTCTAAAGGGTGGGTGTGTTGTCGCCATATAAATCTACAATGGGGTGCTGTAGATTGTGGTAAGTGAAAATGTGTGTTTGTGTGTGTGGTTTTTGTTTTGTTTTCGGGGGGGGGGGGGGGGGGGGNATATAAAGAACAATAAAATCGGCATTTAACTGGTCATATCAAAATACAATACAATAAACCTACTTAGAAAAGCGAACACTCTAACATTCTAACTCTCAAGCAATATGAAGCTTTAATTAGAGTGACACACATCAAATTACATTCTTACAAGACATAGATAATATACACATTTCGTTTGAATAGTCATTGAAAATAAAGCTGCAGCCTTGAATAAATGATGTACAGCCCAGCCCTAGTCAGATTATGAGACATCATATAAGTATTTACATAATTTACAAGTGTGCTAGTGTCAAGTTAGCTTTTGTCTTTTCTATAAAAAAAACACCCCATCTATATTTAAACCTCAGTCAGAATAAGTATCCAAGCAAACAGTACAGGTAAATTTAACTCATCAAATGGCATCAAATGGCATCAGATGACAACAACTGTCAAACCAAAACAAGATTGCATCAAGCTTAAAAACTGTTACTGGTATCAAGAGTAAAAGGTATTAGTTTGGGTGGTTCGAATGCGTAGAGGAAAGCGAACTCGCCCTTCACCAAAACGGCCGGGGTTTAACTCCCCGATCGTGAAGAGGTATTCGGTCACCTGTCCACCCGCGTGGGCTTTCTCCGGGCTTTCTCAATTACCTCTTTCATTAAGACACCCTGCGCACTGACAGCTACGGCAGACCAACAAGAGCAATTAATATAAGTTAGGAAACTTAAGTAAGTCACACACACGTGATTACACCGATAACATTTGGTAATTGATGACACTATTTTAAATGAATGAATTACTGCTATGCATTGAATTCCGATTTTTTTTTTTACAAATGTTAAATATATGGAATATCGAGTTTTAAACAAGCTATTTTAACTGCTATTTATAACTCCATGTATTGCTACCGTTCCAACAAATTCGATACAGGGAAGTTTGACAGAATTTTCAGCATTTAGCAGGAAAACATTTTAAAATAACAGACCTCAGTGTTTGTTTACAAGCCTGTCTAAACCTTCTATCGAATATGCTGTAAATGATCGGGTTTACGGCACAGTTAGCGAAGTAGGACCTCAGGAAGAAACGATAGGCAGTCCTGGCAGCATCATTGTTTTGCAAGCTGTCAACAAAGTCGTCTTTAAGTTCTCTTAGGATAACAAGCAGCAGGTACGGCACGAAATTCAAAATAAAGACCATGGATATAATAAACATTAAATACGTTGTACTTTTTGCGAGATTCTTATTTTGTCGGGATGTGTCTCGAGAGATGTGCCTGTGGTTGGACGGAAGCACGCTACTGACCTTGGTTTTGAGGGAGGATATTTTTGAGATTGAAGTGTGAGTTGAATCTGATAGAGTTCTAATATTTGGAGTAGTTTCCTTCGTTTTTGGCGAACAATTTATAAGAATTATCGGCGCGCTTCCAATCGTTTCCCCAGTCTCCACTTCATAATATGCATTGTCCTTTGAATCACACGAATCACTTTTCTGCTCCAGATCCGTTTCTAATTCGATAATTTCATGTAGTGTTTGCTCCCTGTCAAGCGTCTGAACGAGCTGGTCGGATGATTTACTTTGATTAAGCGTCTGATTATTTTCTTCTGGAATGGGTAACTTCCTACACCTGCGTTTAGGATTCTCACAAACTGAATCCGCTGATAAACCATCTTGTGACCTCATCTCAGAAACTCGCCTCTTCACTGCCGTGTTGGCACCACTATGCGTGTCCAAGACAACGGACGAATTTTTCCGTTGTTCCTGACGCCTTGCGAAGAATCGGACATTTCTACCGATGATGGAATACAGTGTTACCAGTGTCACAGCCGACACGATAAACATTAGCAATGTGACGACGTTATTGATGAGAGGAAAGCGAGATTCAGACCAAGCGTCGCTAACGGAACATTCAGTACCGTTATACACAAACGACTCAAACACTACTTCGCGGGTTCGAACACCGTACAGAAAAATATTCGGTATTGAAAACACAACACCAAATATCATCGAGCACACACTTAAGATTTTCGCTCTTTTGTTTGATATTTGCCACTCAAGAGGTTGGCAGATTTTACGATATCTGTCAATAGCTATCAGTATTAATATTGTGGACGCTGATACAGTTCCGGCCGAGTTTACGAACCGAGATATCACACAAGCGACGGGGTTGTCGAACTCGTACTGGTTCAGAACTGTTAAGATCTCTACCGGAACTGCCACTACGCATGTCATTAGGTCAACGGTCGACAGGAATCGGATGAAAGAACGCGAGTTTGAGTTGGTATACACTTTGGTGTAGATGTATAATACTATGGAGTTTCCGACAAGTCCCACTAGAGACAATACTGACAAATATACGGACAGGGGAAACTGACGGAAAGCCTCGGCCGCATTTATTTCAGAAAGTGTCGCCATGGTTACAGATATTTGCTGTTTCCCTTATTTCAAGCACCTTACTTATGTTTTGTTTGTTCTGTGTTGATTATCGGCGCTGATGTTACGACACACTCTTTTTTTCAAATTCAGTAGCATTCATGGTTTCCCGTCATTTTGAAGACGTATAGTTTGCCTTGTTGCGTTCGATGCGTAACCGGTGGTTTTGATGACGTATACCTTCCACTGTGAACTACCTGTTGTCGTGACGATTTTTTTCTGAAAGAGAGAACAGTGACATTAAAGGAAATGTTACATGTTACAAATGATATCTATATTAAGATATAGATAGTATTCGTAACATAAATAACCAATCAACGAAAGTATAGATGTTACTTCTTAGTTCTTTGAGTTCGCTGAAGTATCTACCTAGCATTCTTACATTGTCACCTTTTTTTTTTCATTTCAACAAATTTTATTGACAGATGTAATAGTTAATTGGATTGCATAAAAGGCAAGCCTATATACATTCTTTTCAGGAGTGGCTCAAAATTATGATCGAATATATAATTAATTTAAGGATACTTTGAAATGAAAAATTATAAAGAGTAATACTAATTAAAGGATCAGGGGAGGACATCACAAACACAATACACAAACAACTAACAATCATACATCCAACACACGTACAATTATTTTCTAATTAAATGAAGCATAGTCAGTGTCAGTATATCATATGTACAGTAAGAGTAGACTTCGCGAGCCAAGGGTGTTCAATACGATACTCTCGAGCCAAGGCTGTTCAATACATTCTCTCGAGCACAGGGTGTTCAATACGATACTCTCGAGCCAAGGGTGTTCAATACGATACTCTCCTATTCAATAGAATAGGAAGGTATCGTATTGAACACCCTTGGCTCGCGAAGTTGAGTAACAGTAGACTTTGACCAAAAGTCCATGTGCGTGTAAAGTGTATGGCTATTAATACTGTTTATGAGTAAATACGTACAAATTTAGTAATGTGACAGAAAGGCAATATATTATTATGTTTATCATATTGAATAGAAAATAAGCAAGATATAACAAATCTACTCAACTGTAATCTCATTTATCATTATGCATCAAAATAGTTTATACTTTGTAACGATAACTTTATCCCTTCATATACTATAGAACCACTCGTACTCATACACACTCTCTATCTCTTATGTGAATGGCTGTCAGGTTCATTTCCTGTGAGTGATAGTACAAGAGCTACATTAGAGGAGTATGGTATTACGTACTTATTTTAAAACACTCAAATTATAGCGCATTATCGAATATAAATAGACTAACGCATTTATGAATTGGTGCGTCCCGAAAATATGCAATAGAGAATATTATACACGAATTTCAACCGTCGCATTCATGATTTAGCGAAAAGCGCTAAAACAAGACTACCACTGAAAATGTACATTTACTGTATTTAATTGATTAACAGGAAACGGTCATATATTCTAACTCAATCAGTAGTATATCTTCCTTGTCTGTTTTGATTTAGTTACATTATCAATCACAATAAAACCAAACCTAGATTATCATTAATTATCTTCATCGAGACATCTTCGAAATACAAGATCTGCTGTGAATGAATAGGATCCTACATGGGTGTGCTCTGTGGCAGGGAAATAATGCAGTGATATATATCAGTTGATATCTCGTATGATAAGTACAAAAGTAATTTATCAAACACTGTCAATATAACAGAACCAATTCCAACCGACGTTATTTGGCGGACTTGCCTAGCGACAAACGTTCCGACGTCATTTGGCGGACTTGCCTAGCGACAAACGTTCTGACGTCATTTGGCGGACTTGCCTCGCGGCAAACGTTCTGACGTCATGGTGCGCGTAGGAGGTATTCCCAGAAGAAAAAGACAGGATTATTTTTCTACCACATCAAATACAAGTGGCAATTAAATGAGCTGCAAACGTTGAGTTAATTATTTACAACAAATCATAGTTATCTTCTGTGATCTACTTTTGTTCACATGGCATCAGTGCATTGTTTATGTGACGTCATGTAATTGTTGTGACAGGGGAGACATATTTGGTTTGGTTTGGTTTAATTTTGTTTAACGTCCTTCTTAACAGCTAAGGTCAATTAAGAACGTGCCTCCATGTGTGTAGTGAACGCATGCTTGCGTGTGTGTATGCAGGTGACAGGGTATGTTGGCGTGTTTGCCTCCTTGTGATAGCGCGGATCTGGTGCCGACTTTATAGTGTTATCTCACTGAAATACCAAGCCTAATGTACCCAGCACAGCATTCCGCCGGTCACATTATACTGACAACGGGTGAACCAGTTGTTGCCATTCCCCTTGATGCTGAAAGTTAAGCAGAGAATAACAACAGGGAGACTAATAGAATCTTCCCCTACCTTGAGTGTGTGATAGAGAAATCACCAACCCGAGGGGTGATGTTTTTTAATCACCCCGAGGGTTGGAGGTTTCTCTGTCACACCCTCAAGGTAGGGGATCATTGTTTTTCTCCCATCCTATTCTCTCAGTCACAACTACACTGACAGTAGTGTAAACAAAAACACATGTGGGGTATGAATATCGTCATTCCCTTTTGATGACGTCACAATTACCGGTGACACATTCTAATGACGTCACAATTGAACACGTGCTAAACGGAACGAGGCTATCTCCCCCTAGGGGGTGACAAGCTGATCTTTCCCGGCGAAAACGGGAGACACACCCGTGAAGGCTGGGAAAAAGAAATATTTTATCTACACATTCGGAATACCATTGTGAAATCAAACGGCTAGCCATTCCATTTGTTCCAGACATAAAGAACACTCGCCAGTTGCAAGGATACATAATGTAATATATGTCTTTTGAATATCACATAATCAAAGCTGGTCAATTTTACCGTTGTGCACCCGTGCTATTTCTGTTATCATGTAAAAAAGAGGTCACGGATATGCGTGTTTCCGTATCAGTTTTAAGAATAATCAACTGTGATTATTCAATTGTTCAGTTATTTTTTCCAAGAATACCAAGAAGATATGTTTCCGACAGCGGAACCCTTATATGTCGAAGATGCATTCTGGTGTTCTAATTTAAGGATTCACGTATAGGCCTTCAAAGAAGTATACACGTTCAGCAATTTCACCTGCGTATAAAATTTTGAAACCAGTGAAACCATATCATATAACAACGTATTATATTTCTCCCTGCATGGGCGTAATTCTGTGTTTCTATTATGTGTGTATAAACGTAATTTCCTAACATCATGATGACGGACGAAAAACATTCAATATTTTGCTCTTAATCAATTCTCAACTATGTCAGCCTATAATGTTTTATGTAAAATTCATGTCAGCGTATGTGCTCTAAACAACTCATATTTTTGAAACATAGCCAGTTTCCAGTTCAAGACGTGATCCTCTTCTATTAATCAACAGTGATTACCAGCCCTCCACACCACAAATGGGTGATTTGCCTTGTTTATCAAAACAGGAAATGAATAACAACATTAAGCGCAGTAGCTGCTATTTTACAACTGAGAACCAACGTTTAATGTGAGAGGACGGAAAAGAGGAAGAGAAAATACTTATCAAAGACAAAACCCTTGGATTTCGATGATACGATTGAAGTTGCTTCCCTGTTAGATGTTACAACGATCGTCTGAAAATTATACAATGACGCAAATCTCAACTTCACCTTCACGTAAGATTTCCGCACGAACGAGTTTGTAACTTCCGGTAACTGTTGGTGTGAAGTGATAATACCGGAAGTTGCTAGGTGAACGTGCTGGAGCTCGAAAGCTTGCTCAATTTAGTTACACTATCATAGCGAAGGGCACACGAACAAGTTAACTGGCATTTATTTGGGTAGGAATGATTTGTTAGGAATTTTATCGATGTAAACAAAACAAAGCGCCTTCATAAGAGCAAATATGAAGTGCATTGTATGTGAAAAAATGGCGTATGCGTAGTTCTTTCAAACATGCTCAGTTTACACGGCAAAGTTTCGTACATGTATAAATACAGAATTTACACGATCGGGTTAAATTAATCAAATCTCAAAGAGAAATTTATCCAATATTGTCTGTATGTATTCCAGGGTAGTTCCCTATAGTTTTTCCTCTTCATAGCGGTATTCTCGAAACAAAATATTAGTTTTAGTTTAATAAACATGAATGTATTTTATAAACAGCACAGTTTACATAGAATAAAGATAACAAAGTCGATATCGAATTTATCTCGACTTAAACTTACCAATGGCAGGGATCTGTCACCATAAACACTTCAACGATACAGCTGTGTTACAATCATTTATATTAGTCGACAATTTTAAGAACAACAAAAACGTATATCTCACAGCAAAGTAACACCACATTCGCGCGCATATTACCAACATTAGGGCGAATTGACGAAGGTATCTACGATAACCGTTTTTGACAACCTGACAACTCGATTAATTGTATCCATGGCCTAATCCTGTGATCACTTTGCGATAAACCCGAGGGTTCTTTGATTTTTAAGAGACCTGCTTTACATAGTTGATATAGATACTATTTTTTTGTCTATTCATTGTAACTGCGACCTTATTGGCCACGTGATATGTTCCGAAGAATGAAAACAGCTGATTAATAGACGTCGTTTGGAGGTACATTCCATAGGTATAAAACATATAAAAGTATTTTAACTGGAATTGAAAGATTTTAGCTTAATCACAGTTTAACGACAATGTTCAGCCTTTAATAATTTTTTCAATATATATACACGGTAAAATCTCACAATTTTTCATGTAAATTCATTCTACTAAATATTTGTTATCTGGATATTTGTAAATAATTTAATGCTTGTGTCTTCAAAATACACAAAAATTAAAATTTTCGCTAATCACTGATTAGGCTAATCATCTTTTGAACAACACAGCCCAGGTTGTTCTATTCTGAAAATATTAGTCTGTACGGTGGCGCGGACTTGGGAAGGCCGATTTTTGGTGACCAGATCGACCAGGTGGAAAGCACTGAGGGTTCCGGGTTCGAATACTATAATACGCCCTGCTACATTTTACTCGTCCGGTTATAATGCTCGTGTCGGCTATAACATCGTTTACTGGCACATATCTAAACTCTGCGGGCATCATTGACAGATACGATATGGGTACAATGTATATTATAGTTAATGGGGACAGTCATGCGAAATTAATTCGTGAATTAAAAATGCTTAGGCAGTTACTTACCTCAAGTCCATACGCTCTCTAAATTATTCTTCCCTTCCAAATATAATCCAGTTTGCAAACAAAATGACAGCTAGAAATCGCCAATTCGCAACATCAACATTAAATAAAAATCAAATGTCAACTTTAAGTGGCTATGATTACAGGAGTAAAAGCGGTGTCCTATCTCCAGTTCATTCTGGAAATGTCAGCCGTCTAGGTCACAAAAAATTGTTACCAGCGAGTGTCAGTTTCCCGAACGAAAACGCCCATGGCATATGCGTATTACATGTACGTATAACCCTCCAAGAAGAAAAATGAGGTTTTTTTTCATAGAAAAAATCTACTGAAACGCACCAGTGATGCTAAATTGAAAACAAAAATAAGCTCCTCTGCATTCAAGGTCTGACGAAAACGCCGGTTGTGTTAGGTTAATAGTTTACAATAATTCACGCCTCTGCTTAATCTTAACGAACGCAATATTTTGATGATTACGAAGGTCGCATTATTTTAATGCTTCCAGACCCATATCAAACACTCTGTGACCTACAATGTATACTATAAATGTCAAATAAAAAATTACCACTGCTCCATAAGATACCGTCGCCCTGAAAACAGTTCAACCACATGTAGTGATGATAACGACTGCATTCATTAGGCAATGACTCTCAAATGGGACGATTTTATATAATGTGACATACATGCATGCATTCTGTACACACTTCAGATGATGATTGTACTTCCGAGTGTGTTCGTGATACACTACAACACGCGGTTTATTGTTTACAAATGGACATTTTCAATCCACAAATATGAACAATATATAGAGTATATCCTTCTATCTTTGCCTGCCAAGGTGACGAATGATAGCAACATACATATATATTAACACGAAAACATGTTTTCTTATGAAAATATCTTAGTGGCGTCATATTTCATAAGATTTCTTGTAAATACCAAAAAAAAAATAAAAAAATACTTTCTAAAGAAATACCACAAGTTTTTGACACTGGCACTGAAAAAAATGATGACAAAATAAAGCTTGTGGCCTACTTCTGCATATAAAGAAAACATTGAAAAGATAACACACATCATTGCTTGGCTGGAGTTATACAATACTCACTGTAGTTTTCAAGATAGGCGTGGTTATGTAATCTGTCTCAATGCAAAATACTAAAAACGAAGAATACAGTGTGAAATATATAAGGAAACACACTGATAATGGACGGGTGGTCCTCTACGTGCTAGAACATCCCCCCCCCCCTTCCCTCTCACACACACAAAATAAAACATATGTTACAGAGTTACAGATACCCCGACCGACCCTAGTTTTTATCTCCAAGCCTAATAATTTTATCTAGCTTTGGGATCAATTGTCCATCGGATGCAAACAGATCGATGACCGACCAAACAAAGAAACATACTACCTCTACTTCGTTAGCAGGTATCAAAACCAAATTTAATACCACAATACTATCTAAAAGAACATAATATATGTTTGGTGTTTTTGTAATTTCTTAAATTTGCACCCTCCACCCCGCCCCTAAAAAAATAGGATAAAAAGAAATATACCGGCTGACCTACCCTATTTTTTCAATCATGTTACTGTACCTCAAACATACATATTTATTCCTCTCTTTTAAATTATTATATGGGATTTAAATTTGGTTTTCATACCTGACAATGAAGTAGAGATGCACCCGGTGGGCAAGTTATCCCAACACAACTATAAACGAACTAAAATATATACGAATAAGAACTACATAACAACTACATATGAACTAAACAACAATTATATACGAACTAAACAACAGCTATATACGAACTACACAACAATTATATACGAACTACACAACAATTATATACGAACTAAACAACAACTACATACGAACAAAACAACAACTATATACGAACTAAACAACAATTAAATACGAACTACACAACAACTATATACGAACTACACAACAACTACATACGAACTTAACAACAATTATATACGAACTACACAACAACTATATACGACCTACACAACAACTATATACGAACTACACAACAATTATATACGAACTAAACAACAATTATATACGAACTACACAACAACTATATACGAACTAAACAACAATAATATACGAACTACACAACAGCTATATACGAACTACACAACAACTATATACGAACTAAACAACAATTATATACGAACTAAACAACAGCTACATACGAACTACACAACAATTATATACGAACTAAACAACAATTATATACGAACTACACAACAACTATATACGAACTAAACAACAACTATATACGAAATAAATATGTATGTTTGAGGTACAGTAACATGATTGAAAAAATAGGGTAGGTCAGCCGGTATATTTCTTTTTATCCTATTTTTTTAGGGGCGGGGTGGAGGGTGCAAATTTAAGAAATTACAAAAACACCAATTATATACGAACTACACAGCAACTATATACGAACTACACAACTACATACGAACTAAACAACAACTATATACGAACTACACAACAACTACATACGAACTAAACAACAACTATATACGAACTAAACAACAACTATATACGAA